ACAAGATGGATAGCAACTGAAGTTCTTAAACATTGATGGTAAAAATGTAAAATAGCACAGACACTTTAGGAAGAAGGCAGTTTCTTATTGTGCTATTTAGGAATATGGTATACTTACCCAGGGAATAGGACATAGTATGTCTACAAAAAGACCTGTACATAAATGTTTATGAGAGCTTTATTCATAATCACCAAAAATTGGAAACAACCCAAATGTACATCAGCTGGTACATGGATAAACAAATTATGTTTCATTCATAAGGTGGACTGTGATTCAACAATAAAAAGGAAGAAGGTTTTTCCTTTGTACATGCAGCACTGTGAGTGAATCTCACAAGAATTAAGCTAATTGAAAGAAGCCACACACAAATGCTATGTTTTGTATGATTTCATTAATATAATATTTTGGGGAAGACAAAACTATGAAACAAAATCAGATCAGTGATTCCCTGAAAGGGACAGGAGGGTAGTTTCAGAGATTGATAGAAGTGTTCTGTCTTGTGATTGGGTGGTAGCTATACAACTGAATGTATTTGTCGGAACTCTCACTAGAACTGTACACTTAAAAAGAATTATTTTTACTGTAATTTTTACTTCAATAAACCTGACTTTACTTTTAGGTACTAATGAGATACAACAAATAAATGCAATGTTTAATTACTGATTAGATCATGGATCAAAATTAAGTCTTAGCTTAAAATATTTAAATTTGCTTTAGACCTTAGAAATATTATTGTACCAGTGAAAAATTTTTGGATGTGACAATTATATTGTCTTAGAAGAATGTAAAGAAATGCCATTTTTCTTAGGAGACACATGCTGAAGTTTTAGGGGTGAAGTACCATGATAATAGCTGCAGTTGGTTCTCAAATAGGCCAGTAAATATATTTTTAAAATGTATTTTATATGTATATGTGTGTGTGTATGCATATTTCCCATTACATCTCACAATGTCTTCAAAAGACATGTATTCAAAAATTGAGAATTAATAAAATTAGTAATTTTTATTGCTTTTACAAGGTAAATTCTTAAATGAAACAGGCATCATCCCCCTACCCCGCCTCTTTGCAAGTTTGTGAACATAAAGAATATAAAGATCTGTGGTACATTTTGGTATCACTGCCTTGATTTATGCTGAGTTTTACCCACCATTGCTTTTGTAGCTTTAGTGCAAATATCAACAAAATGAAAAAGACCAATTATGTGTTAGTATAATTATGAAAATGGTTTTGGCATCTTCCCCCAAGGTTTCAAGAATCCTTCAGGGGTCCATGGACCACACTTTGAGAACTACTGGCCTACAACTTAATGCTTAATATCTGCTTAATATCTGCATAATTTCCTCATCTTCTGTAAGTGCTTGCTTATAAGTTACCTTTTCCATGAGCTCTACTGCGACTACCCTGCATAATAATGTAATCTCTTACTACCCCAGCCACTGACCTCCACATTTTACTCTTAACTTTTTTCTTAGTAACTTTTAATATAATACATGTTTTTAAAAATGTATTATATGGGGCGCCTGGGTGGCTCAGTTGGTTAAGCCTCTGCCTTCGGCTCAGGTCATGATCTCAGGGTCCTGGGATCGAGCCCCGCATCGGGCTGTCTGCTCAGCAGGGAACCTGCTTCCCCTTCTCTCTCTGCCTGCCTCTCTGCCTACTTGTGATCTCTGTCTGTCAAACAAATAAATAAAATCTTTAAAAAAAAATGTATTATACATTTAATTTTTTAAAAAATCTTTCTTCCACTAAAATATAAATTCCTCAGTTAGGAATTGTTGACTATTTATGTATTCCAAACTTACTGTAATTCACATTAATAAGGCTTAAGACTTTTTTTTTTGATAAATTTTCTGTGATTTTCTGAGTTTTATCATTCACATTTTTTTGAAATTTTTATTTTCACAATCATTTTCAAGGATTTTTTTTGTTCTCTGATTACTCATCTTTAGGTGGAATTTTTCTGTATCGGTGTTACAGCTTTTTTTATGGACTCAGCAAATTATCTACCCGAGGATTTATAATTTTTTTGAAGTTTTCTTTTTTCTGGCGTCTGCTTCTCTGTATGTTTTTGTTTTGTTTATGGTTTCTTTGTCTTAGTCTCTTTTTTACTGGGAAATCTCACATAACTGTTGATCCTGGGCACTCTGGACATACTTAGGAGGCAGATACTAAAAGCTAAAATGAAAAATAGATAGAGAGGTGAGTGTTTAGATTCGTCATTTCTTGGGCTTCATTATAGAGTAATTGGGCAGCAAAACCATGTTTTCTATGAGAAACTCAAAATTTCTGTGTTTTCTGAGACCATTCGTTTCTCTAGAGACAGATTTTCCAGTGTTCTGCTGGAAAGTAAATAGATTGGGTTGAGGTGTAAAATAGATAATACTACTAGAGAGGGGCAAGCTGGACATTGGAAGAGGACTAGAGGCTTTCATCCATCAGTATGTAAGCTTTTACTTAATCTGTAATTTCTGGTCTCGTGCTTTATTTCAAACTCGTGTATATCTGATACCCCAAAGTTCAGTTTCTACAGTTCACTTCTCATTTTTCAGTTCCTTAAATCACTTCTCATTTTTCAGTTCCTTAAAATAAACCTCTAGTCTTTGGTAGCATTAAGAATATTAGACACCTACCTATAGTCTAACATGTTTCTCATTTAACCTTTTAAAGTTTCTTCCTGTTTTAGCACCATTCCTCTTCTGTGCCCTCCATGATAACTGGCACTTCTGATTCTTTAAGCTCTTTGAAGTGATTGTTGCAGGATAAATTAGCTTCTTCTTCTTCTTTTTTTTAAAATTAGCTTTCTTCTTATTGGTAGTTCCCTCTCCAGGCATTGAGGTATCCCCTTTCTCTTCTCGTAATCCTGTCCACAATATATTGTGGGCATGATTACAGATGTCTGCTGTATTCCTTAGAAATGAGATTTATATTTCACTTTCTTCTTTTCCTTGTTTCTGAGAAGACAGTGGGTCAGAAATGGTTTTATTTTGCTCCCTTACAACTAGAAATCTGTAGTGCTTCATTTTTTAAATCAGTAAAAAGATACAGATCTGTATGCTTATTTTTTTAACTCAAAAATTTATATTTGCTTTAAAAAATGATTCTCACATTTCTCTGTTCAAGGAAGGAGGAGGTCATTGACAAGGGTGAAGGCATGATTGTTTGGAAAGGATCTAGTTGTACAGATTTGTTTTATTAACTTACAAACACATCTATTACAAAACTTTTTTTAAAAAGCAAACTTTGTTTTTTGTTCATGGGCCCTAGTGTCATCCTGACAGAAGGGCGCAGTGAAAAGATAGATAAGTATTTTTAGAAGGTTATAGTTTATGTACTGGCAATCTTTAAAGCAGAGGTAAAGAGAAAATTTATCTTAAGTACTGGAACCTTAAAAAAGCTGTCATTACTCTTTATTTGTGGTATATCTAAATTTCATATACAGCTCTTACTTGAGGTATACTTTAGGTTGCTGTTAAAAAAAAAGGGGAGAGGGTTGCCTGGGTGGCTCAGTGGCTCTGCCTTCAGCACAGATCATGATCCCAGGATCCTGGGATCAAGCCCCACATCGGACTCTGCTCAGCAGGGAGCCTGCTTCCTCCTCTCTCTCTGCTTCTCTGCCTACTTGTGATCTCTGTCAAATAAATAAAATCTTAAAACAAAACGAAACAAAAAACATGGGGCAGCTGGGTAGTTCAGTTGATTAAGCATCTGACTTTGGCTCAGGTCATGATCCCATACTTCACCCTCTGCCTCTACCTGCTGCTCCCCCGATTGTGCCATTTCTCTCTCTCTGTCAAATAAATAAATAAAAATCTTAAAAAAAAAAAAACCTCTATAAAAAAAACTTTAAGGATTGTAGTAGAATCAATACTGATCATGGCAATAAAAAGAGCTAATATCTTTGTGCTTACTACATGTCAGATACTGTTCTAAGATGCTACATGCATTCTTAGTAATTTAACAATATTGTTTTATCCCTGTTTTGTAAATGAAGAAATTGTGTTTCAGAAATATTAGATAATTTGCCCATGGTCATACAGCTAGTGAATCTAGGACTGTCCAGTTTGAGAAAGGAAGGATCATAGAATTTCTCTAATTCAGCCTTTGTGTCACAGATTTGGAAACTGAGTCTCAGAGAAGTGAAGTGATATGCTCATTTCACAACTAAGTAGTTGTAATATTAATGCTAGAGGGATTAAAATCTCTTGTGATGTATGTGGTTTTCCTTTTTTGTAATTAAAAATTCAGGGTTTCAGTACATTAAGAAGTACAGTTTATTAGTGACTTTCATTTAAAAACCTTTCAGATTTCTTTTTGTATTTTCTACACCTTTAGTCTTCAACTGATTATTAGATTTGTTTCTAGTAATGTACATGTAATAAGTAGGGTGAGGTTTATTTTAGTTAGATCATATTTCATGATCATATTAAACACTTAAAAAATTAAACATTTTTAGTTAACTAAAACATTTTTACTTCTCTTAATTTTGGTATGCCTTTTTTGGGTATGTTATGTGTGTGATTTAAAGATAGGGGATCTCAAACATGTATTTTGTTACTCTTAAAAGTTTTAAATTATACATATCTAATGTAAGATTAATTGGAGGGGCTCCTGCGTGGCTCAGTTGGTTAAGCGTCCAGTTCTTGGTTTCAGGTCAGATCATAATCTCAGGGTCCTGGGATCAGGCCCTGCATTGAGCTCCCTGCTCTTTGGGGAGTCTGCTTCCCTTCTCTTTCTCCCTCTTTCCCTCCCCGAACTCATTTGTGCTGTCTCTCTCTCTCTAAAATAAATAAATCTTTTAAAAAAAAGATTAATTGGAAACAATCAGTTACATGTTCTCATATATGATCATTATTTTTTAAGACAATAGAACATTTCAATTTTTCCGGCATTTTTATAGCATTGAATTTTTATTTTAAAATGGGTTTCTATATTTTTCCTAAAGAAATTTGGTCATAAACAGAGAAAATTGTTAAATATTGGCTCTTTTCTTTTCTTCCAGGTTTCACCTTGCTTAAATGTCTTGTCACGATTGTTGTTTAGCAGTGACCCAGATGTATTAGCAGATGTATGCTGGGCCCTTTCTTATCTTTCTGATGGACCCAATGATAAAATTCAAGCAGTCATTGATTCTGGAGTCTGTCGAAGATTGGTGGAACTTTTGATGTAACTATAATTTATGATTAATAATTGTATGATTGTGTATTAAATTTAGCAGTTAGAGTAATGGCCTTATAAAGATCTTAAAAGTGACTATCTTCAGGAAGTATTGAAAAGCCATCAGCCTCATTTTTCAGAACAGCTATAATGTGAAGAGTTGACCTTCTTAAATTTGTATCCCATCCTTAGTTGGAGCTATCATTTTGTGAATGTATTTCACTGTTTTTAATCTTTTTATGACTGGCAGGGACTTAATTCAACAGGTATAGATGGAATGCCTATTAGCTCCTAGAGTATTATACCACATATTATTAATGAAGTATAGAACTTGGTACCTGCTTGTACAGAACCAGTAATCTAGTTTATTATTCATTACAGTAACTGTAATTGTTCACTACAGTAACTAATTTCTGTAAAAGTCCATTTAGTAATTCACGTGTTTTAGTAATTTTACTTGCTAGACTATTATTGCTACCTTCTTTAAAAAGAACAGATTTTTTATAAAAGAAGTTAAAAACTTGTAAGAGAATTTGTTTTAAAATGATAGTTTCTTTATCTTTTTCTTTAAAAAGACTTATTATACTACGTCTTTTGTCAAAAAGCCATTAGGTAGGTTCAAATGAAGCAGATGGCACAAAGAAGAGAGGTCTGAGAAGGGGTTGTGGCTCTACTCCAAGGACAGCATCTGAGAAGGGTAGGCAGGCAGGTCCAATGGGGGGATTAGGGCTCAAGCTTGAGGATGGCACCCACTAGAGCAGAATAACAAGCAGGCTGGAGCAACACATGATGGATAACAGCCTAGCTGGATCAGAAGCCAGTTTCTTATTCTAAGAGAATGGAGATACAAATATGGAAAGGAGGAAAGCCAGAATAATCTTGTGGTATTAGATTAGAACTGGAGAATGTGAACTCATGGCTTTCAACATAAAGAGATAGATGTAGAAATAAATGTGTGTGTATGTGTCCTCTTAAAGGGTGTGGGAGTAGTGACACATCTATTCGAAAAAGCTGAACACACCAGGTCTTGGTTTTTAAATGCTACTCTTCATTAACAGGAACCAAAATTCTTGGATAAATGGCTGATTCTAGGGCTGGGATTGAGAAAAAATAAGATGAACCCGGAAAGTAGTAAGTGCTTAAAGAGTGAAGAACTATCAAAAGAACACACAAACCCGCTTGCAGGGACTCCTGCTGTTCCAACTTCCAAGCTTCAGATGATTTGAGCATTAAAATAAATTATAATAATATGTTATAGCATTGAATAAAATAGGAATTCACGAGCCCCACTAAAATAAGTAGGTAGATCAATAGATAGACTGAAAAGTCTATCAATAGATAGACTGAAAAGTTGGAATGATGGTATTACAAAATTATCATTGGCAACAATATTGATAATTCAGACAATACACATCAAGAGGTGGTGAAAGTAGTCATTGGTGAAAGTGGCATAAGGAATGGGATTTAACATAGTCTAAAAGTATATCCTCTCAAAAATACTAATTATAAAGGGAAAAACAGTAATATTGAAGTGGAGAAATCTGACAGACACCATTTTAAGTGACTGGAATTCAGTGCCACTATTGTGGACAAAACAGGTATAAGATGCTATCCTTTGTATTGAAAAGATGGTTGCATTTGTGATATCCTAACTAAGAGTATATCATTTGTATCTTAATCATGAGGAAACGGACAAAACCTATAATTGCTTTATGATTATTATAAATGCCAAGATCATGAAATAAAGGAAAAAATAGAAACTTTTTAATTAGAAGAGACTAGAGACATAACAGCTTGGTATAATACATAAGCCTGGATTAGATTCTTTATTACAGAAGTATTACTGGCATAATTAGTGAAACTTGAGCAGGATCTCTGGGTAAAGATATATAGGACTATTCTGTATTATTTTTGCAATTCTTTTGTAAATTTTAACTCTTGCATAGTATGTGAGTTCATGTTTTTATTATTTTTAGGCATAATGATTATAAAGTTGTATCGCCTGCATTAAGAGCAGTTGGTAATATTGTGACTGGTGATGATATTCAAACACAGGTGAGTTCAGACTTTAATATGATAAAATGTTGAGATAATGGATTTTAAGAAATTTATTTAGTTTCATACGACTTGGTAACATATTAATCAAGACTTTAGCATTACTATAATTATATAAGCATCTATAATGTGACAGTGAGCATATTCTTGATAATAAGTGATCAGTCTTGAATAGCTATATGTGAAAGCACTGTCCTAGATCTATATCGATACAAAGAAGTACAAGATTGTAGGTTGGCTCTTGAGGGATTTAAAATAAAATTGAGAAAATATATAGTAAAGCAAAGCAAATTACCTATCAGTGTATGTTTCTTGAGAACTGATTGGTCAGTAAATGCTATAGAACTTTAAAAAAGAAATTACTGTGCTGAGAAATCTTTGTAGATTCCATAAAGAAGTTATAATTAAAGCTATATCCTTAAGTTGGGGAATAACTTAAGTAAACTAGAAGAGATTTATGTGAACATAGGTGTAGAAGCAGACGTGTGTGAGTTGTATTTTTTTTTAAAGATTTTATTCATTTGGCAGAGAGATCACAAGTAGGCAAAGAGGCAGGCAGAGAGAGAGGAGGAAGCAGGCTCCCTGCTGAGCAGAGAGCTGGATGCGGGGCTTGGTCCCAGGACCCTGAGATCATGACCTGAGCTGAAGGCAGAGGCTTAACCCACTGAGCCACCCAGGTGCCCCTTGTGAGTTGTATTTAAGAGACATTAAGCTTGACTGGAGAAGGACCTGTTAGTGAAAGGGTGATTGATTATAGTTTAAGTATGGGGTTGGTTGGAAATAGGAGGGCCTTTTATAGCAGATTGAAGACCTAGATTATGAGAATGGAAGGAAAGATAGCAAGGAAATATTTTCCAGATTTGTAACTATGTGTGTGTGTGTGTGTCTGTCCGTCTGTCTTTTGGAGAATAGTGAGATACCAGAAATGGTGTGATCACAATTGACTTTAGATCTGGAGCAATTTTTCTTGAAGATAGGAACTGAAACTCTGTAACACATTAGATTCTCCTTTGTTTGCCACCATAACTTAAACTTTATTTTAATTTACATATTATCTTTCAGGTTTAATCTTTTCAAGTCCTATTTAGGTATATTAGTTATTAAACAGTTGATCCTTAGTAATTGATAGTTATTGATTGAAAATAGCTTTAAATGAGAATGCCCTTCTAAACATAACACTTTTCAGCAGAAAAGTGTATACTGCTTCATACATTCTTCACCAAGTAAATTTAATGTAAGTCATTGTGGGTATTCTGAAAATAGGAACATAATTATGCTGTAGAAGGAAGAGTATAAAGATGTAAAGGAACAAAGTAGAACATACTTCCTTTTTTTTTTTTTTTAAGATTTTATTTATTTATTTATTTAAGAGAGAGAGCACACATTAGCAGTGAAGGTAGGGACAGAGTGGGAGGGAGAGGGACAAGCACACTCTTCACTGAGCGTGGAGCCACACTTGGGACCCAATCTCCACAATCCTGAGATTTTGACTTGAACCAAAACCTTGGTTTTGGATCCCTAACCAACTGTGTCACCTAGGCACTCCCTATGTTTGAAATTTTACTTATTTTTTTTTTAAACAAAGTATTTTAATTTTTTACTTTCACTTTAATTTACATTTTTAAAATTTTTTAAAAATTTTATTATGTTTTGTTAGTTACCAAATAGTGCATCATTAGTTTTTGATGTAGTGTTCCATGATTCATTGTTTGTGTTTAACACCCAGTGCTCCATGCAGTCCGTGCCCTCCTTAATACCCATCACCAGGCTAACCCATTCCCCCCACTTCCCTCCCCTCTGAAACCCTCACTCAGTTTGTTCCCAGAGGAGTCCATAGTCTCTCATGGTTCATCTCCTGCTCTGATTTCCAAAATCCCCTCCATCTTTCCCTTCCTTCTCCTAATGTCCTCCATGCTATTCCTTATGTTCCACATACAAGTAAAACCATATAATTGTCTTTCTCTGCTCGGAGCATACTTCTTTAGTATGTTCTGAAAGAAAAGCAGAATAGTAAAAAAAGTTTAATGAAAAAATTGACTTATTCTGTACATTGAGGTTTCTTTTTTTTTTTTTTTTTAAAGATTTTATTTATTTATTTGACAGACAGAGATCACCTATTCTGAGGTCAGGTACTTTCAAAATGTTTGATTTTTTTTTTTTTTTTTTTTCATTTCATTTGGTAAAACTAGAGGTTGGATAATGATCAGTCACTAAATCTCTCTTGAAGTGTCATATCAGTTGAATTCTTGAGTGTATTCATAAATATGAGGGACACACTTCTCAGTGTCCTGCTTATTCACATTTTAGTGGTTTGACAGAGCACTTTACTGCAGCATGTTTGGTGAAGTGGGGGAGGAGACGGTAGCAAGCACCTAAGTTTTACTTTGAGATGAATTTCTTTTTTCTTAATTTAGTTTTTCAAGAGTGATTTTTGTATTTCTATAAATCATTAGCCTATCTTTGTGTAGTTTTTTGCTATAAAACTTTGTTACCATTCCTGATTTCTGTTTCAGGTAATTTTGAATTGCTCTGCATTACCATGTCTCTTACATTTGTTGAGTAGCCCAAAGGAATCAATCAGAAAAGAAGCCTGCTGGACTGTTTCTAACATCACTGCTGGAAATAGAGCTCAGATTCAGGTAAATCCTTCCAGATCTAAGAAAGCAGCAAGATCTCTTAAGTCAGTTTGGACAAAAGTCAGCATTTTATCAATGATTTTTTTTTTTTTTAGTGAGTTACTTAAAAAAAATTACTGAAAAGTATTTTATAGAACATGGTCTTTTGTCCTCTAAAATAATAACATTCATTTATAGTAATCTAGTGAGGAATTTTGTGTGTGTGTGTATAAAACTGCCCACAGTGCTGCATGCATAAGGCTAGTCTTAAAAAGGGATTGATTTTTATTAGTTTTAAATAAGTTTGGTAATGATCTTCCTCTCAACTTTTAAGTAATGATTTATTAGGGTCTTATCAAGCTTCTTGAGTCAAAAATTACCTATCCATTTTGATCAAGTATTTACCTTGTGCTTTATCATCTTTTTTTTAAACGATTTTATTTATTTATTTATTTGAGAGAAAGAGAATGTGAGTGGGGTGAAGGACAGAGGGAAAAGCAGGCTCCCCGTTGAGTGGGGAGCAGGATGTGGGTCTCAGTCCTAGGTCTCTGGGATCATGACCTGAGCCAAAAGCAGACCCTTAACCAACTGAGCTTTATCATCTTTAAAATTAATATTCTGTTAATATATTTTCCAGTCTTGAAAGTATGTGAAAGTTTGTTGGAAGATTAGAAAGATTTCCAAAGTTATTTCCAAATAGTCATTTTTAAAGCCGACGGGTCTTATATTTTCTCTACTTATAACATTTTTAAAATAGCATTGGGACTGTCTATGTTGTATCATTTTCCTCCTCAGGCTGTTATAGATGCAAATATTTTTCCTGTTTTGATTGAGATTCTTCAGAAAGCAGAGTTTCGCACCAGGAAAGAAGCAGCTTGGGCTATAACTAATGCAACATCAGGAGGTACTCCAGAACAAATAAGGTGTGATACAGGGTTTTTTTATATTTATTTTTTTAAATGCACATGGAATAAAATGAAGTACTACATACTTTATATTTGTTGATGAAACTAAAATACTATTTCTAAGTCAGTTTAAAATGCATTTTTAATGTTAGATGAAAGCATTTGTTATATCAGTTATATTATTCATTCACAGTAGTTTTTTGTTTTTTATGTTTTTCAGTAAAGGATAGTTAACATCACTTGCCTTGGCAGACTATTTATGAAAAATCAGAGATTAAAAATCCGAAAAAGAACAGTTTATATTAATTTGCAAAATATACTCTAATGGACATTAAATATTTTTTTATACTATTAGAGTCACATGCATATAACTGTATTATATAGAAATGGCTAATGAATTTGAACATCCACTTATTTAAAATAATTTTTAAAAATAAAATAAAAGATAATACTGAAATAGACATTTGTTAATATAGTAATGTTCTCCTAGTCAGTTGTTAGCTTTACCTGTGGATGGTATCTTTTCTTTCCCTATAATTGTTTCCTTTTTTTCTTTTTCACAATAGCTTTTTTGATAGGCCTTTTGTTGTTTGTTTACTTGTTTCTTTTACTAAAAACATAAATACTAGGTACATGGGCTTTGAAGTCAGGCTGCTTTCAAATCCTGTTCTTTCAGTAAAAGTTGTGTGGCCTTGACAAAGTCATTTTACCTGTCTGATCCACAGTTTCTTCATTTTTTTTTTAAGATTTTATTTATTTATTTGACAGATAGAGATCACAAGTAGGCAGAGAAGCAGGCAGAGAGAGAGGAGGAAGCAGGCTCCCTGCTGAGCAGAGAGGCAGATGCAGGGCTCCATCCTAGGACCCTGAGATCATGACCTGAGCTGAAGGCAGAGGCTTAACCCACTGAGCCACCCAGGCACCCCAGTTTCTTCATTTTTTAAGTGAATTTGAGAACAGATAATACCTTATGGTAGTCTCCTGAAAATTAAATGGGATTCATACATTTAAAGCACTTAACATGGTACCTAAACATTAAGTTCTCTACTAAGATTAGCTACTATTATCATTGTTATTTGTAATCATCACAACTTTTATGATCAGAATTGATTCCTAAATTTCTTTTTATCTTGTGCTTTTTACTCTCTTTTGCCCCATAACAAGGTTCTACTTTTGCACTTGCATAAAAGCCTGACTTCCTACGGAATCTTCTTGTTCTATGGATTTGTCTGTGAAACTCAGCACTCTTTGGGTTTCTTGAAGTGACTGTTTAGGAAGTATTTTCTAATGAGTATTTAATTTATGTCTTAATTTATAAAACAAGCAGGCAGCTGCTAGCTATTTTACAAATCACTGAGAGGATTTTGAGATAACCTGTTGTGACAGCTTTGCCTTATTGCCTTCGTTTGTGCTATTATCTTGTGTCTAAGATTTATATTTTTATATATTGATAACATCTCTTCCATTCTACCTCTTTCCATTACATTTCCATCTCATTATGTTATGAATATAAAGAATAATAAAACAAGATCTTCCCCTTGTTCTAGCTTGCATTTTTTTAAAATTTTTTAATTTTTTTATTAACATATAATGTATTATTAGCCCCAGGGGTACAGGTCTGTGAATCACCAGGTTTACACACTTCACAGCACTCACCATAGCACATACCTTTCCCAATGTCCATAACCCAACCACCCTCTCCTTACCTCCCTCCCCCCGGCAACCCTTAGTTTGTTTTGTGAGATTAAGAGTCTCTTATGGTTTGTCTCCCTCCCAATCCCATCTTGTTTCATTTATTCCTTTCCTCCCAAACCCCCCACGTTGCCTCTCAACTTCCTCATATCAGGGAGATCATATGATAATTGTCTTTCTCTGATTGACTTATTTCGCTAAGCATAATACCCTCTAGTTCCATCCACGTCGTCACAAATAGCAAGATTTCATTTCTTTTGATAACTGCATAGTATTCCATTGTATATCTGTACCACATCATTTTTATCCATTCATCTGTTGATGGACACCTAGGTTCTTTCCATAGTTTGGCTATTGTGGACATTGCTGCTATAAACATTCAGGTGCACTTGCCCCTTCGGATCACTACAATTGTATCTTTAGGATAAATACCCAGTAGTGCGATTGCTGGGTCATATGGTAGCTCTGTTTTCAACTTTCTGAGGAACCTCCATGCTCTTTTCCAGAGTGGTTGCACCAGCTTGCATTCCCTCCAACAGTGTAGGAGGGTCAGCTTGCATTTTTTTTAATCAACTAATATTATTTTTATCTGCTTTGGGAACCAAAGTTTCTTTGTCTAATTATTTTCATTATTAGGTCTAGTCCATATATTATTACTTAAATTTATTGGTGTGAATCAAGTGTCCAAACTGAGATCATTATTTCTTCTAACCATTTTCACCTTTTCATTAATTCTACATATATGGGAGGAGATCTTGATCGCAGATTAGTTTCAGCATGCGTACCGCTAATATTTATTGAATGTCTGATATTGCCAGTTGTTGTGCTAAGTCATTTCAGTTATTAAATGCCAAAGGTGTTTCCGATACCTTCATGTATTTTATGTCCTTTAACTTCATATCTCTAAGAGATATTCAATCAACAAATATATTGATTAGCTATAGTATATGGCAAGTGAGTGCTCTAGTGAAGGTATGTAATTTAAAAAAAAAAAAAAAAGAGAGTAGAAACTAACTTTTAGGGGTGCCTGGGTGGCTCAGTCATTAAGTGTCTGTCTTCAGCTCAGGTCATGATCCCAGGGTCTGGGATTGAGCCCTGCATCGGGGTCCCTGCTCAGCAGGAAGCCTGCTTCTCCTTCTCCCTCTCCCCGTGCTTCTGTTCCTCTCTCACTGTGTCTCTCTCTGTAGAATAAATAAATAAAATCTTTGGAAAAAAGAAAAAAAGAAACTAACTTTTATTGAATGCTTAACTGTATTTTTGTAGCAACTGTCTGAGCTTGGTACTGTTATTATCCCCATTTTAAGATGGAGAAACTGAGGCACAGGGCAGTCACTCAAAGTCACACAACTAATGCGGAGTGGAATCGGGACTTGAAGCCATGCAGTCTGGCTTCAAGCAAGTACATGTTTTTTTCCTTTAGCTTTAATGGACTTTTTGCCAACTAAATAAATCAGTTACTTTGTTTATATTATAGAGAATGGAAAAGAGGTAATAAAAACTAGAAAAGGACAAAGTATTAAAAAATGAATGGAATAACTTTGTGAACATTGTTTATTAAAATTATTCACAATGTAGTATTCAGTATTGCTTCTGAAACATAGGTGGTATTTTAGAGCATCAGCTATGATTGTTTTTGTGAGAAATTTGATTTAGGTATCCCTTCTCCCTCTTCATTTCTGCCTACTTCCATATGACCCCAGTATGTGCACATAGACTCACCTTTAAATATTGGCATCTTGAAACCACTGTTACTCTTAATACTATTCATATGCCATGCAGAAACAGCCCAAGTAACGGTTTACTTGTATGTGTATTTTTGTAATATTTGTAATCTCATTTATTGCTAATTATGTTAAATGAAAATAGAGTAAAAAGTTTTCAGGTTCCTATGTAAGAGAAAATTTAAATATTTTAATGTCTGAGTTTGTATAAAGATACTTTTCTTAATTGTTTATTGAACAGTTCACTGAAGAGTATTTGCTATAAATAATATTTAAGTCTTTCTAAATGTTTTTTTCCCTCTACTTTTTTTTTAATTACTCTGAAGGTATTTGGTAGCCTTAGGTTGCATTAAACCACTTTGTGACCTGTTGACTGTTATGGACTCTAAAATAGTCCAAGTGGCTTTAAATGGACTTGAAAATATTTTACGTCTTGGAGAACAAGAATCTAAGCAGAATGGAATAGGCATTAATCCATACTGTGCTCTCATTGAAGAAGCATATGGTAAGCAGTCAGTTCAAAATGTATCATTACAGTCAAGTCTTCTTTTTAACTGACATATAACATTACAACTTGCCCTCAGGTATACAACATGATGATTCCATGTTTGTATATGCTGTAAAACTATCATGATCACCATAGTAAGTCTACAACCATTACCATACAGTTACAAAATGTTTTTCTTGTGATGAGAACTTGTAAGATTTTAACTTTCTTAGCAATTTATAAATACATAATACAATATTATTAACTCTAGTGCCCATGCTGTACATTATTTCCCCATGACTTATTTATAACTAGAAGTTTGTACCTTTTGACCTCCTTCACCCATTTTGCCAACTTCCCCCACTGGCAACCACCAGTCCATTCTCTGTATCTATGAGCTCGGTATTTTTTGTTGTTGTTTGTTTTTTGGTTTTACATATGTGTGAGATTATTTTCTCTCTGTGGCTTATTTTATTTAGCATAATGCCATCAAGGTCCATCCGTGTTGTCACAAATGGCAAGATTACATTCTTTTTTATGGCTGAATATTTTATTGTATACATATGTACACGGTTTTTTTTTTCTTTTTATCCATTCATCTGTCAGTAAACAGTTATGTTGCTCACATATCTTAGCCACCTTAAATAGTGCTTCAGTGAACATTGGGGTAGCAGATGTCTTTTCTAGTTAGTGTTTGCATTTTCTTTGGATAAATACCCAGAAGTGGAATTGCTAAATTATGGGATAGTTCTGTTTTTTTGGGATAGTTTAATTTTTGAAGAACCTCTGTACTGTTTACCATAGTGGCTGCACCAATTTACATTCCTACCAACAGTGCACCAGGGTCTCATTTGTTCCACATCTACCTATACTTGTTATGTCTAGTCTTTTTGATAATAGTCATTCTAACAGATGTGAGGTAATTATTTTCATTGCAGTTTTTATTTAAATTTCCCTAATGATTACTGACGTTGGACACCTTTTCAGGTGCTTGTTGGATATCTGTCTTCTTTGGAATAATTTCTGTTCAGGTCTTCTGCCCAGATTTTAGCCAGATTGCTTGTTTTTGGTGTTGAGTTGGTGTTCAGTTCTTTGTGTATTTTGGGCATTAACTCCTTAAGGTATATGACTTGCAAATATTGTCTCTATTCTGTAGGTTGTCTTTTCATTTCTTTGATTTTGTTGATGGGTTCCTTTGGTGTGCAAAAGCTTTTTAGTTTGATGTAATCCCACTTGTTTATTTTGACTTTCGTTGTATTTGCTTTGGGTGTCAACTTCAAAATATTGACAAGACCAGTGTCAAAAGTTTATCACTGATGTTTTCTTCTACTTTATGGTTTCAGATCTTACATTCAAATAAGGTATTCAGAGTTTGTTTTTGTGTACGGTATATGTTAGTGGCCCAGTTCCACTCTTTTGTGTGTGGTTGTCCAGTTTTCCCAGCACCATTTTTTGAAAAGACTGCCCTTTCCCCATTGTATGTTACATTCTTTGCTTCTTTGTAGTAAACTAATTGATTTTATATGTGGGTTTCTTTCTGGGCTCTCTATTCCATCGATCTGTTTTTATGCCAGTAAGTTTTTATTATTACAGCTTTGTAATACAGTTTGAAATCAGAGAGTATGATGTCTCCAGCTTTGTTCTTTTTCTTAAAGTTGCTTTTGGCTATTTGGGGTTCTGTGTGCTTCAATAAAGGGGCACCTGAGTGGCTCAGTCAATTAAGTGTCTACCTTCAGCTCTGGTCATGACCCTGGGGCCCTGGAATCGAGCCATATATCGGGTTCCCTGTCCAGTGGGGAGTCTGCTTCTCCCTCTCACTCTCCCTCTGTGCTCTCTCTCTCTCTCAAATATATTTATGTTTATTTTAGGATTATTTGTTCTATTTCTGGAAAAATGCCATTGGTATTTTGACACAGAGTATATTGAATCTGTAGATTGTTTTGGGTAGAATAGACATTTTAACAATATTAATTCTTCCAACCCATGAGCACAGAATATCTTTTCATTTATTTGTATTGTCCTCAGTTTCTTTCATTATAGTTTTTAATGTACAGGTTGTTCACCTCCTTGGTTAAATTTATTCCTAGGTAGTTTATTCTTTTTGATGCACTTGTAAATGGGATTATTTTTTAATTTCTTTTTCTGATAGTTTGTTATGGATGCATAGAAATGCAATAGATTTTTATACTAATTTTATTTGTATACTGCTACTTTACTGAATTCATTGATTAGTTTTAAGGTTTTTGGTGGAGTCTTTAGGATTTTCTATATATAATAGCATGCAAATGGTGACAGTTTCCCTTCTTCTGTTTTGAGTTAGATGGCTTTAGTTTCTTTTTGTTGCCTAATTGCTTTGGCTGGTACTTCAGTACTGTTCTGCGATGATATAATTGAAGACGTTTACCTGTAATTAAATGAAAAATATATTCAGCATCACCCAGACATAGTGTAGATTTTTCTTCTTGTAGGCAATAAAATAGAGTGCTCTAGATTTTGTTAATTTTGTAAAAATAGGCTTTTTCAGTTTCACTAATAGGTTGTACTTTTGTCATATTATACAATAGCTATATCGGATTTGTAAGTAATACTCATTCCATATTGATCTCCTCGGATTCTATTTCTGAGAGAATGTGTGTATGTTAGTTTGCTCACCTTTTGTTTCTTCATTTGTATTTGTTTTGATGCTTTTCCTTTTTTGTGCTTTTTATAAATAGCATAATTACTCTGGAAAGGACATGTAGAGTTACATAATCTAAAATTGAGAAACTAAAGTATGGAGAAACCAAACTTAATTTGGTCAAAATCACACAGCTAGCAAAGGTAGAGTCTATGATCTCCTGATTCCCAGGCTGGTACTTTTACCACACTGCCTTATGCTGTCATTCTTGAAGTTTAAGACATAAATTGTGTTGGCTCTCAGTATGTGCAAAAATTAGATAGGAACAACAGCCCCATTGCTGATAGACTGACAGATGCTATGGATTCATTATTTTGGTTCACATATATGATGAAACTTGAGTAACAGTTTTCTTTATATATGTATATATAATGTAAAACAGGTCTGGATAAAATTGAATTTCTGCAAAGCCATGAAAATCAGGAAATTTACCAAAAGGCTTTTGATCTGATTGAACATTACTTTGGTGTAGAGGAAGATGACCCCAGCATTGTACCTCAGGTGGATGAAAGTCAGCAACAGTTCGTGTTTCAGCAGCAGGAAGCACCAATGGAAGGATTTCAACTTTAACTTGGTGGGGTAAAAATTACTGGCTATGAAGGATGGTTTCAGAGATCTCTTCTTTGTTACAATATCAGTAGGAATGTTTGCTGTGTTTTTACTTAGAACAGAAAAGGAAAAAGTTGATGCACTTTTAAAAAGCAAAACAAAAGTTTCCATTCAGATGCAATCTTCCATTATAGGTTTTTTTATTTTGGTGTACGTATGTTTGTGTTTTTATTGTCTTACCTATTTTTTGTAATGTGAGCAATTAAATATATATGAAATTATTTAATAACTTAAGCTTGAAAAGGAGAACTTTGATAAAGTATTATATATAATAGTTCTGAGTTTTTTTTCTCGCATCTTGGAAACTGCACATTGGCAGTACAGCTGATAATTGCATTTTGGCAGTAAGTCTGACATGCCCAATCTACTAAATCTACCTCTATCTTGAAGCAAAAACAAAAAAGCTTCAGAAGCATGAAATAGTGTAAAAGCTAAATTAGAATGTGAAAATATCTGTTACCTTAAATTATAAATCACTGTGCTGTAGGTTATACTTTGCAAAAAAAAAAAAAAAATTATAACAGAAAACCTGTAAAATTTATTTATAAAACATAGAAGTATTGTACTGATAATCAATTAAAATGTGGCAATTGTGAAGAGAAAAGCTGTTCTTCATGTTGAACACATTAAGATGATTACACATTTAAATATTTGTGTTTTTAACATGTAAATGCTATTATATTAGTATATTTTGTATTTTGACCAAAAAATGCTACCATTTTTGAAATAGTGTTTTATTATTTTTTCACTCTTCATTTTAAAAAGCATCATGATAGAGATGCCATCATGAATCTAAAGTAGTGCTGCATAGCAAAAATAATACTGTAATCCTTTCTCTGATTTTTTTCAGAGCAGTCATTGTAAAGTTTCACTTTCTGTGTAATAATAAACTTAGGTACTTGAATGACAAAATTTTCCTGAAGAAATCACCTTGTTACGTGTTAAATTTTATTAAATGGACTTAATGTTTGGACACTAAAGGATGACACTAATGAAAGTTGCTAAGGACTCTTTAATATAGTTGAAATCTGTACTAGGAATTTTTTTTCATTTTTCATAACACTTGGAGGGCCATACTGCTGCTTGTTGTAAATCTGTTTTAAGTTACATTTGTATCAGATTGGTCAACATAATGTACATGTTTTATGTTTTAACAGCAAAAGCCTCTTCAAACCATGAAGCTTTTAAAAAAAAGTTTCAATAGGAAAGTATATATATATTTATTTATAGATACATATGTAAATGGTGTCTGTGTGTTATTTTCACAGTGATGTACTTGGTAGAGCTTTCTAAGCAGATGTGGTACTGTTGAACTCAGTCTTTTCATTTATAGTTATATGCAGGCTATTTACACTTCTAATTATATACCTAAAATACTTATTTAAAAATTAGTATACAACTGTTTTAAGATGGGAACTAAAGCATTTTTGATATGATTCATAGTCTATTCTGTAAAGAAAGATTTCATTTATGATAGCATTTATAATGTTTCTGCTGGAAATCAGAGGCATGTTACAAGAAGAAAATGTATATAGGAATACTTTTAAATAGTATGACACTTTGTAAATTATGTATCATGAAACTATGCTTTTGGCAAGACACTTAAAACCTACAGCTATAAAATACAGGTTTAAATGGTGTCCATAATACTGACTGTATCTGCCAAACCCCTTTTTATATATTGTTAAGTAGAGGATTATATCTGTGCCCTTTTTATTGTAGTGGAAGTTAGAAAGTTTAGTATAAAAAGTTTTTCTCTTGTGTTATGTATAGTCAAAAGAACAGGGTAGTTATATCAAAGATTATCAAATTGATGGTGAATTTATGAGGTAAACATTTTTTTTGTGGTACAGATGGTTCTAAGTATCAGGTGACAGGGTATTACACTCTTTCTAATCAATTGAACTTGATAATCCAGCATAATTCATAAACTAACCAGCTGTGCCTGCTTTTATTTTGAGGACCCTGTAGTCACATTAATAAATAAGCCAAGTCTTTCAAACAAAATAGTTCTTATAGAAGGAAAAATAATACATATGTGTGTGCATACCCACACACATATAAAACGATTTTTGAGGAGACAGTTTTTAAATTTTGCCAGTAAAATCTTTTATCTCTAACACAGAATATGACCATATTTTAAACATCTAAATATAGAATCATATTTAATTTCTTAGATCTGTTATTTGGGTAATTAATTTGATTAGATTTGAATGCAAGAGGGAGTGAGTATCTATCTATTAGTTGGGACCAGCTATGGACATGCTGATGACTTCATTGAACCAAGACTAGCAAATACTTCATTACTAAAATTTTTTTATATGACTACACTTTTCAAATAAAATATTGAAAATGCTCCAAAATGCATTTTTATTAATCTTCACTTACCCTTATGGAAAAAAATCTCTTTTTTAACTTGCTCTCCTCAAAACATGTATTTAAATTCAAGAGCAACTGTGCCAAAAAAAAAAAAAAAAAGCATTTTGTAAAAGGGAAGTGCATGCAATATTAATGGAAAAAAAGAAAACACTTGAAAGAGCCTTTTACATTTATTTAATTCGTTGTTTTATTTTGTCTGAATTTGAATTTGTACTAGTTAATCTATGCAATTATGCTTACTTGTTTTATATTTGTAAGTACCTGACTCACTAGCCTGGTTTTCTTTAACAGGTTTTATTTTGAAACGTGTTCCTAGAACTTTAATTTTTAGTGTCATTTTGTTCACTTAACTGGTAGCACCAGAACAAGAAAGCAAAAAAACAAAAACAACAACAACAACAAAAACCAAACACATAAAAAGTCTGCTGGCACAGAAATAACATCATTTGGTAACTGTAAAACTTATTTGCAAGGTAAGGGTTGATTTGTTGAATAAAGGACTAAAAGAAGCATTACCTTTGCCTCGTATTTTTTTCTAAGGAGCATTATGGAAAAGGTAACTAATTCAAAGTCTTAGTGAATTTTTGTTGCTCTTCTGAATTCAGCAATCTTCTGGCTGCTTTACAAAACTGTGAAATCAAAGTAATTGTTGTTAACCTTTACTCATTTTAGTTCATAACATTACTATTTTACAAAATGTGACATTAGGAGCCAATATGGTAGGGCTCTACAAGGATAATGTGTCTAAATTCTGAATTGGGGAGTGGGGTGAGGGGAGGATATTCTTCCCTAACTAAATAAACCAACATTTGAGCAGTATGCAATATTATGAAATGTTACAGCACTATATTAAAAATAATAAAATGCTATTTTACAGTTTCATTTATATAAATGTCTCTATTTCATTTTTCTCACTTAGGATGGTGTACTCCTAATGGGACAAAAATAGGTGCCCTCATTGATTATAATTCCATTCACTTTCTAAAACTAGTCAGATTGCTGTTTGTAGCATATCCGATAAAGCATTGTGTTGCTTTTATTTTAGAACTTACATATTGTGCTATACATCAAATTTATCTTTGTATCTCAAGATTGGCAGTTAGCAGACATGCACATGTTTTGAGATTATTTTTTCCTTTTCTGTTACTTTAATGCAACATAATGCATTTATTTAAGGGGTAGAGTTTTAAACCTGACGAACAGAAGTCAGAGGGAATGTCCGATTTAATTTATAAATGAACTCTGGGATACATGGTCCACACTGTAGCCAAGCCTAAGCCTCCTTAGACTAGTATTTTTGTTCGCTGCTGCTGCTCTGTTTTTTGCTTTGCCTGGTTTCCTTTCCTTCATATTTGAAACAGATTAATCACAGAATAATGAAAGTAATTGGATATTATTTTTAGGGTACCTTTCAATAAAGCATTCTGCAATTCTAGTGACAAATGAATTCCTGAAAATACAATGTACAAGTCAAACAATAGGCAAATATGCAGTGGCATTCCCTTCCCAGAAATTCCTAAGTACATCCTTTAATGATATGTTTGCTCAATTTTATATATGTTCTTTTTTTTGAACTTTTAAACATTTTTTATTTAAATTCAGTTAACATATAATGTATCATTGGTTTCAGAGGTAGAGACCTATGATTATTAGTCTTCTATAATACCCAATGCTAATTACATCACATGCCCTCCTTAATGTCCACCCAGTTACCCCATCCCTCCACCCTCTCCCCTCCAGCAGCCCTCTGTTTGTTTCCTATGATTAAGAGTTCTTTAATTTTGGGGGCACCTGGGTGGCTCAGTGGGTTAAAGCCTCTGCCTTTGGCTCAGGTCATGATCCCAGGGTCCTGGGATCAAGCCCCGCATCGGGCTCTCTGCTCAGCAGGGACCCTGCTTCCTCCTCTTTCTCTCTACCTGCCTCTCTGCCTACTTGTGATCTCTCTGTCTAAAATCTTTTTTTAAAAAAAAGAGTTCTTTAATTTTCTTTCATACTTGAAGAGTTGACTAAGTTCAATGAGCACATTGAATTTAGCACATTAAATAATTTTTTTAAAAGATTTTATTTATTTGACAGAGATCACAAGTGGGCAGAGAGGCAAGCAGAGAGAGAGAGAGAGAGGAGGAAGCAGGCTCCCTGCAGAGCAGAGAGCCCGATGTGGGACTTGATCCCAGGACCCTGAGATCATGACCTGAGCTGAAGGCAGAGGCTTAACCCACTGAGCCACCCAGGTGCCCCCAGCACATTAAATAATTTTTATATTTGTTTCAGTAGCTTATTTAGGAAACATACATCATATCGTTATTAATAGCACTTTAACATTTCAATTTTCCATTCTGTTATGAAATAGAACTTTCAAATAATTGCACTGGCTATAAAGCACCACCAGAACTAAAATGTCAGTTGGGGGCAACCCCATGAAATAACTTGGAATGCTCAGTAGTTAGTGCACAACCATTTTAATTTGGAGACAATAGGCAGTTGAGGGAATTTAATGTGTAATGCCTAAAAATGCGTTATTTAAAAATTGAATATTTTAAACACATTACTTTTGAGGGATCTCTCCTGTTCTTTTTCAGTTATGGTTAACATGTTTTTAAAAGCTAAAATAGCATGACAAAATTTAATACACTTTATTTAGGGTTTTGACATGACTCACTATTTTCTGAGCATTCCATCTTTTAAATTGTTTTATTATAAAACATACACAAAGAGGATTGTAAGAAGACAGTTTGAATAACAAACGCCTATATATTCACCACCCAACTTAAATTATCAGTCCTTTGTAACCATTACTCTGGATTGTGTTCGTAATGCCTATGCTTTTCCTCATTGTTTCATTTCATGTTTATGAACCCCTAAAATAGTTTCACTTCCCTGTTTTTGAAATATATAAAATGGGATATTTTACATATTCTGTATTTTTTTTTAGCTCCATGTTAACATTTTTTGAGATTCATTCACATTGATGCATGTGCCTGGTTCATTTTCTTTGCTGTATACTATTCCATTTTGTGACTACGTGATTATCTGATAAGGCAAGTCTGCTATCTTGTTTTTTCTTCAGGATTGCCATAGCTCTTTGCATTTTCACATAAAGAATTCAGTTCACAAATTCTGTTAAGAGCCCCATAGGGGTTTTGGATGAAATTAATCCAGAGGACAATTTTGGAGGAATTAACAACTTAATGATACTCTTACTATCCATGAAGAAGTTAAAGCTTGCCTTTTACTTAGAGTTCCCTTACTGTATTTCAAAAAATAAATTTTGTAGTTTTCTTCACAAAGATCATTCACTTTTTTTTTTTTAATTTCTTTTCAGTATAACAGAATTCATTGTTTACGCACCACACCCAGTGCTCCATGCAATCCGTGCCCTCCATAATACCCACCACCTGCCTTTCCCAACCTCCCACCCCCTACCCCTTCAAAACTCTCAGGTTGTTTTTCAGAGTCCAGACTCTCTCATGGTTCATCTCCCCTTCCAATTTCCCTCAACTCCCTTCTCCTCTCCATCTCCCTATGTCCTCCATATTATTTGTTATGCTCCACAAATAAGTGAAACCATATGATAATTGACTCTCTCTGCTTGACTTATTTCACTCAGCATAATCTCCTCCAGTCCTGTCCATGTTGCTACAAAAGTTGGGTATTCATCCTTTCTGATGGAGGCATAATACTCCATAGTGTATATGGACCACATCTTCCTTATCCATTCGTCCGTTGAAGGGCATCTTGGTTCTTTCCACAGTTAGGCGACCGTGGCCATTGCTGCTATAAACACTGGGGTACAGATGGTCCTTCTTTTCACTACATCTGTATCTTTGGGGTAATTTTGGGACTTCATCAAGATCAAAAGCTTCTGCACAGCAAAGGAAACAGTCGACAAAGAGGCAACCCATGGAATGGGAGAAGATTTTTGCAAATGACAGTACAGACAAAAGGTTGATATCCAGGATCTACAAAGAACTTTTCAAACTCAACACACAAAAAACAGATAATCATGTCAAAAAATTGGGCAGAAGATATGAACAGACACTTCTCCAATGAAGACATAACAAATGGCTATCAGACACATGAAAAAATGTTCATTATCACTAGCCATCAGGGAGATTCAAATTAAAACCACATTGAGAGGGGGACGCCTGGGTGGCTCAGTGGGTTGAAGTCTCTGCCTTCGGCTCAGGTCATGATCTCGGGATCCTGGGATTGAGCCCCGTATCGGGCTCTCTGCTCAGCGAGGAGCCTGCTTTCCCCTCTCTCTCTGCCTGCCTCTCTGCTTACTTGTGATCTCTCTCTGTCAAATAAATAAAATCTTTTTAAAAAAATTTTAAAAAAAACAGTGAAATACCACCTTACACCAGTTAGAATGGCCAAAATTAGCAAGACAGGAAACAAGGTGTGTTGGAGAGGATGTGGAGAAAGGGGAACAGTGTGGAGATTCCTTAAGAAATTAAAAATAGAGCTTCCCTATGACCCTGCAATTGCACTACTGGGTATTTATCCCAAAGATCATTCACATTTTTAAAGTTTAAGGTAGGACCCTTATGTTTTTCATTGTAAAACAATTTTGTTACCCAAAATTTTGTAACTTGCTGCTGGGGTATACAAATGTAATTGAACTTTATATATTAATCATGTCTAACAACCATGTCAAATTCCAATTTATAGATGATTTGGGGGTTTTGTAGACAAAATTACCTGAATAATGACATTCATTTCAAATCCTTGTTTCTTTTTCTTATTGTACTACGTAGGATCTCTAGTACAATATTGATTGTAATAGTAGCAGGCATTTTAAATTTGTTCTTTTTTTTTTAACACCTTTAATGTTGAACCACAAAATATGATGTAGTCAGTGTAGTTTCTCTTGGTTTTTGCAGATTCTTTATCATCAAATTTCCCTACTCTCCCAAGTCAATATTCAGGTCATTTTCAAGGTTACTTGTGGACATTGTGTAGAGTGGCAA